CCAATCTATGGGTCGCTGCTTGTTTCAAGATGTGCGAAACAAGGTTGGAAAACCTGGCCTTGCTTGTGATGAAACACTGGGTAACCTTGTGGGGCTGCAATTAAAAAGAAAGCCAGGGTTCCAAGCATGGAAATGCACAGTCTGCAACACTGCTGGCCAGTCACTTGAAAAATCAACTGAAAAATCCCAAACTTCAAAAGAATTTGAGGCTAATTTTAAGTCTGTGCCTTGACCAAAAACATTTACAATAATTGCTGGGGGGAAAGTTTAACGTCTCCCGCAACTTTTCTCAGCAATCCCTGAAGAACCGTGTTCCGCTGTGCAAAGAGCATCCCAGGTCCTGCTCCCCAAATTGTCTTTTTAAGGTTTTATTTTTAAACAGAAGCCACAGGCTGCCTTCAACTGGACATAAATTCTTCATGGGTCCCAGCCTGCAGACGGTGGGAGCTCCTGTGGGTGAGGATGGGCTTCAGATTGAATCCTTGGCTCCAGTTTCTGGTCCTGCTCATCCCTGTCCCATCATCATGGACATGGAGCAAGGCAGCATGGCTCCCCCCGTGGGCACCTCTGTCCCCATTCATCACTAAGACTTAATAGGAACCACGATGTGAGCAAAGCAGGACGTATTGCTTGTAGAAACACGGCCTTTCAGCTATGCTAAATGATTTAAAACTGGTGGTGAACAAACCTAATATCTGCTCGCTTCTGCCAATTCTCATTACGCTGGGACTCCCTCGGAGCTATTAGCTGCCTTAAAAAAAAATCGCTGGAAGGAGTCAAGAGAGCGGCACAGCCAGTGCTGGGGAGGGCTGCTGGCAGCCGCCCGGCTGGAGTGTGACGTGCCCTTGAAATCCTGTGCCCAGAGGCATCCGTCGGCCGAGCCGTGCCAGCTCCGGCAGTGCGCCCTCCGCCACCCACGCCGCCCGGCAAAGCCAGTTATTTTTAATTTCATCACCTCCATCCTCGCCACGTCCTGGGGCAGGTGGGGGTGTTATTTGGGCAGCAGGGACTGCAATGCTTTTGCAGATATTCTTGCAAAACCCTAATACCGTGGGTTTGCAAAGCTGGAAAGCCACAGTGGGGAGAGAGGAGTATGTTAGGGGGAGGAAAGCAGGGAGGGGGGAGGTGAAGCATTTTGTCCAGTCTGCCAGGAAAACCCTGGAAAGGGAAGTAGGAGACCTCAGTGGACATGGCACAGGGCAGCCCAGCCGTGAAACCATTTTGCGGCACAGGCACAGCAAAAAGCCGGGTGCGTATGTGAGCTGTCAGCCAGGCAGACAGGCCCCGGGCATCTCCTGGGTTGTCACAGCTGCAAATTGTCCAGGAACAGTCTCTAATGAGACGTAAGAGAAGGATTTACTGGAGGAAGATGTCACATGGATGAAAAGGGAAAAGAGAAGAAACCAGGAGAAATAGCAGTTTGGTTTTGTATTTATTTGTGCGGGAGAAATTGCTTTAAAATGTCCTTTGGCATGTTAGAGAAGGCAAACAGCCAGTGACAGCCTGGCCGCGGGGCTGGACGAGCCTTCTCCTGGGATCTCACTGATGTGAAGACCTTGACGTGCAAATTCCCTTCTCCTCCTCACCCCCCAACTCAGGATTTACCTGCAAGAGGGAGAAAAGCCCTTTCCGTTTGTCACAAAGCCCATGGCTAAAGTTTCATCTGCAACCTGAGCTTTTCCTTCCCCTGCTGCCCAGGGTGCCGGCGCAGCCCGGGTTGAGTGATGCTCTCAAAGATGGACAAGCTCAACCGCAGACCAGCACAAAGCCAGACCAGCTGAAATCCACTGGGGGAGGATATACAAACAGGACCAAACCCCATCCTCATCTCCCCCCGGGATGACCAGTGGAGTTTGGATGGAGGCAGGGAGCATTGGCCGAGCGGAGGAGCCGTGAAGGAGAGCAGCTGGCCAGCTTGCAGCATCAACAATTCTTCCTGCATCCTTCTCGTTGTGCGCAGCCTGTCCCCTGCCATGTCACGGCTCTTCTGCACTTCAAACATCTGTTCAGGATTGCATCCAGAGGCTTCTCAGTGTCAGACCCAGCTGGGAAGGGAGAAATATTTAGGACTGATGAGTGGGGCAAGAGTGCAATCTCCCCAAAACACTGTCAGACAGAGAGGGGGTTCAGGACTCAACCCTCCTGCAACTCTGGCAGTGCTGGGAGCAGTATTAGGAGCAAAAAGAGGGTGTCCAGCTTGGTGCCAGTGGGCATGATCCATGGCTTCAAGATTTACGATCCTAAAGTGTTTCATTCAGCCCGATCTTGATGCTGCCACTGTGTCTTGCTAGGACAGAGCTCATTGGGCTCCTCCGAATGCCCCAGCCCCACACCAGCAGGATGGTATTTGTGCTCACTCAGTGTCTCCAGGGAGCATGTTTTGAAGAGAGATGGCTGCTTTCAGAAGGACAACATGTCCTCTGAGAACATGTCACTGCCGAGGGAGTTGGGCCTCCATGGTGGAAGACACAAGAGCCCAGTGCCGGTGCCGCCACTGCTCTTCTTCCTCCCACTGATGCAAATGAAAATCGATGCTTTTTCTGGGCTAAAACTTCCCCTCCACACCCACTGGCAGGGTGGCAGGTGGAGAGCTCGCCAAGCGTGCAAGTACTTGCAAGCAGATGCAGAGCCCTGCGCTGGGCTGAGCACCCAGACACTGGTCGCTGCGTCAGGGGGACACGAGTGTGTCCACACCTGGGGCTGCAGAGCTGAAACTCTTATCAGAAAAAACCCCAAACCCCCAGTGTGATTGCTCCTGCCTCCCCTCACCCCAGGGCTCTGCTGCTTTCCTGCTCCCCACAGCAGTGCCTGCTCCCCAGTGGGGCGGCCAGGGCTGTGTCCCTCCCAGGGGGACAGGCACCTTCTGCACCTTCTCTTCTAAACTGCCTCCCATTTCTGCTGGAGCGAGGTCAGAGGCTATTAGCTACTCTTATATTGCCTCTGAAATACCCCTTTTCTTTGTGCTGTTCTGCTCTGCTGGAGCCATGCTTGAAAGATGGTGTCAGAGGCTGTTTTGCTGGGGCAGAGCACTGTGTAGGAACCACCCATGGGAGGAAAAGGCTTCAAAAATCCTTCCCACCTGTCCTCCGTGGCCATGCTGTCCTGGCCAGGGGTTTTACCAGAAGTGAAGCCCTCCTCCTCACTGCAGCAACCTTCAGTCACCTCCTGCAGCTGCATCTATCTGGTGGCCTCTGCTTGGGGATGAGCTTGGGAGCCCCACTTTGCTGGTCCTGACCCACAGCCAGGATGACAGAGCTGTTCACCTCGAGGACCACGGGACAACACCCTCCAGCACAGCTCTCCCACAGGGTCTGTCCCAGGTCGGATCCTTCCCCGCTTGCTCTTCCCAAGCATCACACAGTCATGGGCTCCCTCGATGCTGCCTCTCCAGGCTCCCATTTATCCCAGAGGTCCCTTTGCTCCACGCCCGCAGCCTGCAGCTGGTGGGAGCCAAACCCCTGGGGTTTTCAGGCACACAGAAAGGGCTTTCACCTGTCTTGCTTGCAACCACTCCTGCAACAACAGCTCCTTGTGCCTGGTGATGGAGGGGAAACCGTGCTGCCCCTGCCAGCGAAGGGCTGATCTCTGCTGTGCGGGATCCTCTCCCGGGCATTTCCCACTGTGCTGGCCCAAGAGGCTCTTTTGTTGCAGTTTCCCAGGGTTTTGCCTTTCCTACAGGCTGGAGAACGTCCTTCTGGCAACCTTGGCTTTGAACCAGTCCCACGCTGCTGGGTCAGGATGGCCCCGGCATTTCCGCAGTGCAAAGCTCTCGCTGCAGCAGCTCTGAATGCACATTTGCACATGTGTTAAAAAAAAAAAAAAAAAAAAAAAAGCATTAAATATTAAAGGCAAAATCATCTTTGTCTGGACTCAGAACAGCTCTTAAAAATGTTAGCGGCTCCAAAATCCCAACCCTCCCTTAGCTTTGAAAGCTTCTTCCACCTTTTTATCAGCCCGTGGGGAGCCGGTGCAAGGTGCGTGCGAGCAGCAAGGCTGGTGTGTAAAGTGCCTCTGAAGGAGCTCCCGAAGGGAAGCCACGCAGCTCACAGCAGGGTCCGAGAGATTCCCAAACCCTGTGAGCCTACAGGGACTGGTGTGCAGAGGGGAACTGGTAAAGAGCCCTGGAAAATCCCAGTTCTGGCCCAGGGCACTGGAAGGTGGTCAGTGAGGGCAGCCCTCACCCCGCCTTGGGGTTGTGTCACCCCAGAGGAGGGTGACAGCACGCTGGGACAAGATGGGTCCCATCCTGCCCCCACGCACCTGGGGGATGCACCGGTTGCTGTGCAGCCCCCGCAGCATCTGTTACGGTCCCCTCCATCACCGGGGACCCCAGGGGCTGGCACAGCCCGAGCTGCTGCGTTTCCACTGCAGGGGAATAGTGATGCCCTGCCCGCTCCCACCCCAACTGCCAACCCCACCCCCAGCACCTCCCCGGGTGGTGGGATGCTTGACAGAAACAGGCTGCAGAGGGGACTGCTTGCAGAGCAAAGCAAGTTGGGTTTGTGTTTTTGGTGTTTTTTTTGTTTGTTTGTTTTGTTTTTTTTTTTAAATTCAAGGAGCCCTTTCCTGGCTGCTGAGGGGTGCAGCACTGGCTCCCTGCACCCCGGGAAGGGTAAAGCCTTCTGGGGACATCAACAGGACCATTCATGTGGGGCCAGCCCAGACCCCTCTCTCTGCTAGACATCTTCTCCAAGGCTCTAAAACCATCAAGAGGCTATTAACACCCCCACCATTCCCTAGAGAGCCCTTTCTTTCCCCCAGAGACCCTCACTGGGGGGACTCCACTGATCCCGCCGTGGCTGGGACCTGCAGGACCACCTCCACCTCCCCGAGCATCCCCTTGCAGC